TCTATTAATTTATCGATATTGCTTAAACTTGAGATCGGATGAACTGTTACTGTTTTCTTTCAAAAGTGATATATGATATTTGTGAAATGAGATTAATTTGTTTTATATGTTTTCAAAACCGTGTCCAAATTTGGGAGGATTTTCCTACAGAGCTTAGTACTCACCCCCTATAAACAATATTTATTTTCAGATTTCGGTTTAAAGGAAGAGCTTGGAGTTGACGAGCAGGTAAATTGGGAAGCTAAAGTGGATGGGTATGTGGTTCCGGAGGTGGATGTCTAGAATTTCTATTTTTATGTGCTAGACTAGGAGTTTCATATTGTGATAATGGTCATGTTGATACCTTCCTTATTCCGCTACGAGATAATAGTTTGGGCATATTCTTTTGGGCGTAATTGCCGTTGTTTAGCATATTCTTTTGGATGTAATGGTCATGGTTTGACATATTCTTTTGAATGATGTTGTATATATTATGGATGATGAATGAAATTATCTTTATTTCTGGATCTTATTAGTTGTTCTCGTGAATAATTTTTAGATAGTAATGCCGTCCAAGGTGGATTTTGGAGTGTTACACGAAGAGCATGCATAAAAGTAATAATCTTGAATAATGGGACCAATAATACGATTAATGATTGGACCCAATCATACCTCGAAAGGACACAAGACAAGATCTACCAATTCGGATCACTTAGTGAATAAAGTTGTGTTATTAATGCTTAGTGCCGAGTAGGCTTACGTTCCTTAGGGAGTTGTAAGTGTGTGGCTTATAATACAATAATGACACGACTCGAGGGCGGTTGACCTATTGCCAATAGGGGTTAGCATTCTATTGTCCTTATATACGAATGAATTAGGGGAGTTTCTTGTCTAACATACTGTTAGGACATCTAACATGCCTGGTGGCCTCATTCTAAGCACAAGCAATACGCCCTTGGCTATAAAACCCCCTTAGCCTAATGCCACAAGTATGCAATCTAGCCATACTAGAGACTTTGCTTTCCTCTCATTCACTCGACTGGGTTGATCATCGGATACACATCCCCCGCCCTCCTTTTAATCATGTTTTTGTTTTCAAAAGTCACTCCATCCTTTTTGCTCTAACAACATTCAAACATTTTCACCCCCAATGCCGTTACCTCCTAATATTTCTGGAAATCGCTCGCACAAATTGATAAAGAAGAATTATGGTGGCTCTGCCCAATACAGTAATGGTGGTGGTGGGTATGTACTGATTGGTGGTTTATCGAGTGTGTGCATTAGGTGAAGACTATGGTGTGTCATGGTACATTGTGATGATTTAATGGTGGTAGGTAGAGATGTTAATTCGTGTCGTATCGTGTTATTCACGTGTTGTTATTTTTGTATCGTGTTGTTGTAATTCATGGTATGCTCGTGACAATATTAACGAAAAAGAAATTGTTAATGTATTATAATTTTCAATTGTGTATATTTATCACTCGTATTAATTTTAAAATCATATCAAATCAAAATTTGTCGTTTTTGTGTTAATGGGACACCCTAGTTCCTGAATGGTGATGCACAGTGGGTGATGGTGCACTGAGGTGGAGATGTGGTGATAATGTTTATTTGTATGTTAAACTAGGGGTAACCCATGCCTGAAAGCATAGTGCAACATAAATCAACTAATTAATTTGAAAAAGTGAGGAGTTAAAATCCCTGAGAATAGTGGCAGAGCAAAAAATATGATTTAGGGTAGACACACTGTAAGTATAATCATACCAATACTCTAAATAATCAATTTTAGTTTACTAATTTTAAGAGATTGATATGAACTTTTTGCTTTTGTTTTTTTTTTTGTTCTATTATCTAACTTGTTTGATCTAATTAATTTTGTTTTTCATAAATCATTACAGTGAGCTCAATTAATCCNATCGTGTTGTTGTAATTCATGGTATGCTCGTGACAATATTAACGAAAAAGAAATTGTTAATGTATTATAATTTTCAATTGTGTATATTTATCACTCGTATTAATTTTAAAATCATATCAAATCAAAATTTGTCGTTTTTGTGTTAATGGGACACCCTAGTTCCTGAATGGTGATGCACAGTGGGTGATGGTGCACTGAGGTGGAGATGTGGTGATGATGTTTATTTGTATGTTAAACTAGGGGGTAACCCATGCCTGAAAGCATAGTGCAACATAAATCAACTAATTAATTTGAAAAAGTGAGGAGTTAAAATCCCTGAGAATAGTGGCAGAGCCAAAAATATGATTTAGGGTAGACACACTGTAAGTATAATCATATCAATACTCTAAATAATCAATTTTNTCCTTATATACGAATGAATTAGGGGAGTTTCTTGTCTAACATACTGTTAGGACATCTAACATGCCTGGTGGCCTCATTCTAAGCACAAGCAATACGCCCTTGGCTATAAAACCCCCTTAGCCTAATGCCACAAGTATGCAATCTAGCCATACTAGAGACTTTGCTTTCCTCTCATTCACTCGACTGGGTTGATCATCGGATACACATCCCCCGCCCTCCTTTTAATCATGTTTTTGTTTTCAAAGGTCACTCCATCCTCTTTGCTCTAACAACATTCAAACATTTTCACCCCCAATGCCGTTACCTCCTAATATTTCTGGAAATCGCTCGCACAAATTGATAAAGAAGAATTATGGTGGCTCTGCCCAATACAGTAGTGGTGGTGGTGGGTATGTACTGATTGGTGGTTTATCGAGTGTGTGCATTAGGTGAAGACTATGGTGTGTCATGGTACATTGTGATGATTTAATGGTGGTAGGTAGAGATGTTAATTCGTGTCGTATCGTGTTATTCACGTGTTGTTATTTTTGTATCGTGTTGTTGTAATTCATGGTATGCTCGTGACAATATTAACGAAAAAGAAATTGTTAATGTATTATAATTTTCAATTGTGTATATTTATCACTCGTATTAATTTTAAAATCATATCAAATCAAAATTTGTCGTTTTTGTGTTAATGGGACACCCTAGTTCCTGAATGGTGATGCACAGTGGGTGATGGTGCACTGAGGTGGAGATGTGGTGATGATGTTTATTTGTATGTTAAACTAGGGGGTAACCCATGCCTGAAAGCATAGTGCAACATAAATCAACTAATTAATTTGAAAAAGTGAGGAGTTAAAATCCCTGAGAATAGTGGCAGAGCCAAAAATATGATTTAGGGTAGACACACTGTAAGTATAATCATATCAATACTCTAAATAATCAATTTTAGTTTACTAATTTTAAGAGATTGATATGAACTTTTTGCTTTTGTTTTTTTTTTTTGTTCTATTATCCAACTTGTTTGATCTAATTAATTTTATTTTTCATAAATCATTACAGTGAGCTCAATTAATCCAAAAAAAATATATAAAACTAGTATAACTAAAAAATATATATATTTTTTCAGGTAGCCCCAGGTCCCTCCTCCTCCTCTATCACTGCTAGGAAGAGAGAGTGAAGAGTGAAAATAGGAGAGTAAAATTCAATATGAATGATTTTGAGAGAGATATTGGTGGCAGTTGGATGAATAAATTTTAGATTGTAGGATAGGCCTGTTGAAATCACCCCATTTTATATTATGGATATTATAGATAAATCCATGAAATATGATAAAATTGACTTAAAAAATGTTAATTTATATACATGTAATTAAAATTGAGTTAAATTTAATACAAACTAAAAATTTAATTTATCAAAAAGCATATTGCAAAAATATTTTCTATCAAAAAAAGATCTATAAATATCATTTATAAAATATTATGTTTTTAATTAGTACAAGCTATTACAAATTTATTAATTTAAAAGAATATATTAGCGTTGAGTATCCTTAAAATATAAAAAAAATAAGTCTTGAATTTTTTAATTCAAGATATGCATAAGACATGTTAGTTTGAGATAATTAATTTAAATTTAAAATTAATTATATTCAATTTCTATGTGTTAAGCAACACCCTTGTTTTTGTTTTAACTTAAATTGATGAACTTTTTTTAATCAAAATATTATCACTGTGTCTTATACAAGTTCAAAATATTACACTACACTGAAGATATTAATGGAAAATTTGATCTATTTAATTATTATATCAGAGAAAATCCTATATTTTAAGATTAGTCGTAATCGTTGACTAGTTGGGAGATAAAATATTAAGGAAAAAAATATTAATTTCTTGAACGTTGGATGAATAAATTTGATACCATAAGATATGTTCCAAGATCAGCCGAAATCGTTGACTTATTGGGGGAGAAATATTAAAGAAAAATATTATAATTTTTTGACTGTTGGATGAATGAATTTGAGACCGAATGCTCGACTTGTTGAAGCTGTCCTGTTTTATATTATAGATAAGGCAAGATGGTCTTTTTTTGTTACTCTCGTCGGTGGTGTTAGATGTGCATTTTGCCAATGTCAAAATGCTTGAAGGGGTACAGTAGGGCGTCAATTTTATCCGTTAATATAGACCCGACACAAATTTGATTTGACATAAAACTTGAAAATAATACGATGAATTGACATGAATAATAAATTGATCAAATTAAGGTTCGATACAAATAACACGATTAATGAGTACTATAGATAGAAAATAATTATTTAAAAAATATTATAGACAAAAAAATAAGAATTTTATAATTTTTTAAATAATATTATATGAGTAGTTGTTGAATTAAATATTTTTTTATTAATACAAACATTGACACGAATTCGACATGTATCAAAAATAATACGATACGAAAATAATAAAACCAAAAATCCCACAACACGAAAATAACGAGACACGATACAATTAAGACCCTAAATTTTACTCAAATTAAATACAAATTTCGAATGGGGTTGACTCAGACCAAACCCAACCGAGTCTATTTCTCATCGTGTTGAGTCAACTCGGAATACCAGAGCAATCTCAACTTTGAATTCCTTAAAGCTTCGAACTTCAATTGCAGAGAGCCAAACCAAAGGTCCATTCATGTCTCAAGCGTAAGCTCTCAACTTTAGTCCTTCGAAATGTTCTTGAATTTCAATCCACTCATTCGAAAAAGAAAAACCCTAGTTGGACCTCACACAATTGAGGTATTTTTTCAATTTCATACATGTATTAGTGGAAATGCGGTTGAATGTATTGGCAAAGAGTTAACTTTTGGACTAAGAAGCCATTTTTATACACACCCATGGACTCGCATGATAATAACTGCATTTTTTTCATCATTGTCAACCAGAAACCCTAAGTCTACTCCCAATTTTTCATCCGAATCTGTGGACATAGATGCTAGAAATAAAGAGATGGGTTCGAAAGAAACTAGGGGTTTGAGTTCATATGATAGTCCTACTGGTGAGAATGCAGAAAGTTGTAATTTTGATGATGTGGATGAGCTTGAAGAGTCTGAAGTAGAAGAAGAAAGAGAAATAGAAGGTGGAAATGATAGTGTTGGTGATTTTAGGTTTTTGAATTCTTTTAATAGACATAGCCAACAAAATAAATATATTAGTAGAGTTGAAATTGATGAAGATGAATTAAGACACCCTTTGGTGAAAGAAATTTGTAGGTTAATTGATCTTCGATCGGCATGGACACCAAAACTTGAAGGGGAATTAAGGCACTTGTTGAGAAGTCTGAAGCCTAGGCAGGTTTGTGCTGTTCTGCGTGCGCAGGCCGATGAACGGGTAGCTTTGAAATTTTTTTACTGGGCTGACCGACAATGGCGGTACAAGCATGACCAGATTGTATATTATGCAATGCTTGAGGTCCTGAGTAAAACTAAGTTGTGTCAGGGTGCTAAGCGAGTTCTTCGTTTTTTGTTACGGAGGAAAATCGAGCGTTGGCCTGAAGCTTTTGGCTATGTGATGGTTTCTTTTAGCCGAGCTGGCAACTTGAGGAAAGCAATGCAGTCCTTGACTGTAATGCAAAAAGCAGGTGTCAATCCTGATTTGGGCATATGTAATACTGCAATGTATGTTTTGGTGAAGTGGAATAGGTTGGATAAGGCATTGAAGTTTTTGGAACGGATGCAAGTGGTTGGAATCTCTCCTAATACCGTAACTTACAACTGCTTGATCAAGGGTTATTGTGATGCTCATCGAGTTGATGATGCATTGGAGCTGATTGCTGAAATGCCATTTAAGGGTTGTTCCCCAGATAAAGTTAGTTACTATACTGTGATGAGTTTTCTCATTAAGGAAAAAAGGACTAAAGAAGTGAGGCAGTTGATGGAGAAGATGCTGAAGGATAGTAATTTATTGCCTGACCAGGTCACTTATATTACCCTCATCCATATGCTCTCCAAACATGGTCATGGAGATGAGGCAGTAACATTTTTAAGGGAGGCAGAAGAAAGAGGATTTTACATCGATAAGGTTGGGTATAGTGCAATTATAAACTCATTTTGTCAGGAGGGAAAGATAGATAGAGCGAAAGGACTTGTGAATGAAATGTTGTCGAAGGGTTGCATTCCCGATGTTGTGACTTACACTGCTGTTGTTGATGGGTTTTGTCGTGTAGGGAAGGTGGATCAAGCCAAAAAATTGCTTCAACAGATGTACAGTCATGGCTGCAAACCAAACACAGTAACTTATACAGCCCTGTTAAATGGGCTTTGTCATAACGGAAACTCGTCAGAGGCGAAAGAGATGCTGTCCATGAGCGAGGAGGAGTGGTGGACCCCCAATGCCATCACATATAGTGTTGTGATGCATGGATTTCGTAGGGAAGGGAAGTTGTCAGAGGCCTGTGATTTAGTCAGGGAAATGATCAGAAAAGGCTTTTTTCCAACCCCGGTTGAAATTAACTTACTGATTCAGTCTCTTTGTCGAGAGAGTAGGGTCAATGATGCCAAGAAGTTCATGGAAGAGTGTCTCAACAGAGGGTGTGCTGTTAATGTGGTGAATTTTACTTCTGTAATTCATGGTTTTTGTCAAAAGGATGACTTAGATTCTGCTCTCTCGGTGCTTGATGACATGTATTTGAGCAACAAACACCCTGATGCTGTCACGTATACAGCAGTTATTGATGCATTGGGAAAGAAAGGTAGAATAGAGGAGGCAACTGAATTGGCCAAGAAAATGCTCCACAGAGGTTTGATTCCTACGCAAGTAACATACCGAGCAGTCATTCACCGGTTCTGTCAGCTTGGACGGGTGGACGAGTTGTTAAGATTGTTAGAAAAGATGCTTTCAAGGCAAGAGTGCAGAACAGCATATAACCAGGTTATTGAAAAGCTTTGCAGCTTTGGAAACCTTGACGAGGCTTATAAGCACTTGGGGAAGGTTCTAAGGACAGCTTCAAGAATTGATGCCAATACTTGCAACGTGCTTATGGAGAGTTATTTGAGTAAAGGAATTCCTCTGTCATCGTACAAAGTGGCTTGCCGAATGTTTAATAGGAATCTGATACCAGATTTAAAGTTGTGTGAGAAGGTGAGCAAGAGACTAATGTTGGAGGGCAAAGAAGATGAAGCAGATAAGCTCATGCTACGGTTGGTAGAGCGTGCACGCATTTCACCTCAGCATCGACAGGATGTGCAAAGCTAGGGACGGGTCTTCTCAATTATACTGTGGTTCTATTCATCATACCCTGCCGGTGGAACTGGGTTTTTGAGGGGCAATCATTTATGGTGAACGTAGACTAATGTTAGAAGGAAAATTATGAGGCTGATATTCTTATGTTATGCATGAGTGTGGAATGTTTCATCTCAGTTTCAATTGTTTGTCCAGTCATCCTCTGCTGTTGGACCTTCACCTCGAACAGCTCCAATTACAGTAAGTCTTTCTTTTTTTCTATGCACTCATTTGTGTTAATTAGTTTTGACTCAATAGAAACCAACCGTGTTGATCATTTCTTCCTGCGGCGTTCCCTCCCCCCCCCCCCCCCCCCCCCCC